TGGCCAATCTATAGGTTACTCAAATCGCAGAAACGTATCCAATCAGAACGCAAAACCCGTCACGAGGGGCATCTGGTTATGCAAAAACACGGGTGGTAGCGACAATACAATATGAAATGAGCCAGTTATAATATGGTAAGTCTCAGGGCTTCCTTCGTTTGATTCCACAACCAAATAGCAAAACTATATGACTATAGTGATCTTTGGTTTTGTCATTCATCATATAATGGCCTGTAACTTCAAATCTCTGGAATAGGTGCGGTATGGCATCGAAGAATGTGGGANGAACTCTTGGCTTATACGCTGTGAGTTTATGAAAAATATAGAAACCAAAACTTCGAAGTACTGAACACATGAATGAAGTCATCTGAATGTGCCCCCTTCCCCAAAAGCAAATCCATGGAACAAGGACATACTTTGGCCAGAATATACGAGTGTAGTAGAGCCAGATTGTCAGTCATTTCGGCCGGGACACGTAGGTCTCGACGACGCAACTCTTGTACCATACTGTACAACAAATCGTGAGCACTGCGATAATTGCCAGCTGTTTGCTCTTCTCGAGCTATGATGACAGCGGTTCGGGCCGCTTCTTTGTATTGTTTGAGTACCATGTACAGGCGAAATAGATGACGCGCATCCTTTGGCACACCGTCCGTCTCTCCCATCAGATAGACAATTAACAGATGGGTGAGACGACTATCACCAGCCATACCAACAGCCTCCAAAGCCAACTCGAGCGCCGGGCTGTTTTCCGTGTAAGGAGCACGCAATAGATGACGAACTGCCTAGATATATATAGAATAAAGCGGGTGAGAGAATGCGGTCCGGTGAAAACGTTCCGTTTCTCATATAAAAAATGAATTGGCTGATTTAGTATTGATTACAATTACATGAAGAACACGTGAACTTCTTTACTTTATCAATAAGAGATTTGATCATGGCATCGAATTAATAACCACCCTCGTGGATTTCAAATAAACACTGATTTGTATTCAAGACTTGGGCCAATAAGAAATGAACACAGACTAATTGATTGTTTTTACTAGTCGGATCAACTACGAAATCAATCATATGGAGCCTCACTGGATTTCAACAGTGTGCATAATTGACTGAAAAAGAGAGATTTTCACGTGGGACTGAGGTACCGAAAGTCAGCTTCCTCCCTATTCCATCTGTATTGAGCGTGAGATTTGAGAGGATTGTGCACCACGTTCAAGACTAAACTATCGTAAAGTGAGGTTCATGCACATTCATATGCTAGGGAGGAGATGGTATAAGCCGGATGCGCCACAGGATCTGCGACGGAACATGTCGGAATAGTAACATACTACAGAAACTGGACAAGTGTGGAATTGTCCTATTCATTCACAAAGGGCAAAAAAATTGGTAATGACGTGTTTCTACAGTTACATATGGAAACCACATACACTGAACATCTCAAAACTATCTCAAAGGTGAAACGAAGCTTAATCAGTTGCTGAGTGATGGAATTAGCAGTACACACATTTTTCATCAATAAGATTCAGGCTTCGAACTCGCTGATGTGATAAAAGTAACAAAACAAAACAATTGGGTTTTCAAAGAATCTCATTACTAATTCCTTTTACCTCACAATCTGTCCTTGTTATATCCCGTACAAGTCAATAAGTAAGCAAGGAGTGAAATAGGTAGTAATTCTACTTCCGGATCCTTTTTAGATAAGCCGCACCAAAAAATCAACCCCCGCCACCGAAAAAAGGAGGATATGAAATTTGTACTTTTAGTTTTTATTGGAATGTCATTAATAATTTGCAAGAAAAGATCCATTTTTCGGTACCTTTGACTCCACACGAACTCACACAAGTAGCTGTCCACTAAAGATCGCTGTGTGCCGCAATG